GGGGTGGTGAGGGGGAAGGCTCAGAGTGGAGAAGTGCTGGGTACTGAGTCACAGTGGGGAGGAGTATCTTCAAGGTTCCTTTTCCTCCCCCCATTAGGAGGCCTTGGCCGAGGCGCCTGAGGAAGAGCTTTGCCCAAGGCCTCAGATAAGGAGACCTAGGAATGAAGGCGCAGGGCCTAGGAATGTAAATATGGGAAGAGCTTGATGCGGGAGGAAAGCCTAAGTCCTTGACTGCAGCTCCCTGCAGAGACGGTGATGCACGGGCTGTGCACTCAAACTGGGGTGGAGAGGGGACAGCTTCCCCATGAGGCCCACCAGATAGAGCCTTTGCAGCGCTTATGATGAGGACTTAGATCTTAGCCAGCAACAGACTCCTCAGTGTTTAGGAATGTGTATTGCCTCTTGCTTGTCACCAGGGGATTGTTAAACCAGTCCATGATGGAATCTGGGGAGAAAATAGCAAGTTGAGACAGATTCCCCTGATGGTTGTTTCACAACCTAGTGGTAAGATAGAAACCTTGAAGACTCAACACTTAGGCACTTATTATTTAATAAATAATGCTTGATTGGCTTGACAGAAACAATGCAGGTCTCAAAGCTAAGGAAAAGCTTGAGCTCATGAAAGACTCTAATGACTAATAGCAGTAAGTTTTAAAATTGGATTTAAGGCTAGTTAAACACTTGCACACATTCAATCATCCAACCAACCGATATTTACCCAGCATATATACCGTGCGCCTGGCATTCTTCTGAGTGCTTGGTACACATCAGAGAACAAGATGGAGAAAAATCTCAGCCCTTCTCCCAGCTGATTCTAGCAGGGGAGAGAGACAATAATACACAAAACAAATGAGTTGCTCAGTATGTTAGAAGATGATAAGCACTATGAAAGAAAGAAAAAAGTATAGCAAGGTAAGAGAGCTCAGGAGTATTTGGGGAGAATTGAAATCTTAAATAGGGTGATCAGGGAAGGTTTCATATTCATTATAACACACCTGACAATCCCATGCGTCTCTGATTTATCTTTATATTGCTGCTAAATTAATTTTGCCAAGACTCCTCATTATACCATTCCCTTGCTCAAGAATCCCCAATGGCTCCCCTTGCCCAAACGATAAAGTATAAGCTCCTTTTCCTGGCATTCAAGGTCCTCACCATCCGGCTCAGTACTCCAGCTCACCTCTTCCTTGCTTCAGTAAACCAGACTATTCACTGTACTCTGGCCACATCCTATCCTTCCCCTGTCAGAGGTTTTGACCCATTGCCTCATCCCCTGTTCTCTCTCTTTCAACTTTTTGACATTCTACCCACCCTTTAAAAATCACCTCAGGGCTTCCCTGGTGGCGCAGTGGTTGGGAGTCCGCCTGTTGATGCAGGGGACGTGGGTTCGTGCCCCGGTCTGGGAGGATCCCACATGCCGCGGAGCTGCTGGGCCCGTGAGCCACGGCTGCTGGGCCTGCGCATCCTGAGCCTGTGCTCCACAGCGGGAGGGACCACAGCAGTGAGAGGCCCGCGTACCGCAAAAAAAAAAAAAAAAAAAAAAAAATAAACTCAAAAATTTTCTCCTAGAAAAGCCTTCCTAGATCTTTCCATCCCAAAGGAATTCTTTCTCTTCAAAGTTCTGCAATACATTATGCTATGAATACAGCATTCAACAGATATATTATAGTTATTGAAAGACTTAGTTCCTTTACTTGATTGTACACTTCTTAAAAACATGAACTACCTCCTTGAATATCCCCACACTATTCAGCATGGTGCCTTGTAAGAATGATCTCAAGTAGCTAAGAGCTTCTTGACACTTTTGCTATATAAAGAAAAGAGATAAAAAATATTTAAGAGTTGGGCTTCACTGGTGGTGCAGTGGTTGAGAGTCCGCCTGCTGATGCAGGGGACACAGGTTCATGCCCCAGTCCGGGAAGATCCCACATGCCGCGGAGCGGCTAGGCCCGTGAGCCATGGCCACTGAGCCTGCGGGT